CACAGACACACTCACACACACACAGAGTTCATGTCACTTCCTGTTTGTTCCTGAACGCCCCTCCGCTCTGCTGCGGCGTCCCAGAATCCTCAGAAGAGGAGCCTGCTCCACTGGTTCCGTGCCGCTCCGGCTCCGGCTCCGGCTCCAGCTCCGGCCGAGTTCCGCTCCCCGCTTTGCAGACGCCCGCCCTTCCCAGGCAGCCTTAGCAACTGGCGCGACGTCCAGGAAGTCAGAACGGCAGGGTCAGAGGTCAAGGCCTGCAGGCCTGCAATGGTCAGTGAGGGTCAGAGCAGAGAGCAGGACGTGTGGTCAGAGCAGAGACGCATCAGCAGGGTAGGTCAAAGGTCAGCAGGGTCAGGAGAAGACACGTCACACGTTGTGCTGTTGATGTCAAAGGTCGTGCATCCAATCAAACACTGTTATTTTAATATGGTTTAATCTGTCACATGGTAGAAGCTCATCAGATTAGACAAATGCGACTGATATTGCTATAATAACGATCAAACCAATCTACCAGAAACATTTTAACTCATAGAGATGATTGATTTATATTGGATTTTTCAGCACGGAATAATAAATACACAGATTTTTTGATTATCATAAATCAACATTCCACAGCATTATTATTCTAATAAACAATTACCTTTAGCCAAACCCCTTATAATACCTCATGTTAATGCCCTTACAAACAAACGTTCAACAAAATTTAAAACTGTTTAAATTTAAAAAATGTCTACACATGCATATGGATAGATAATAATAACAACCAATAAGTAACTAAATAAAAATATAATGTAAATAGAAAAGAAAAAAGGGGGACAAAAATATTTATTTTGATGGTTTAACTATGAAAATGAAGAAATTAAGACAGCCAAAGGTGTTAGTATTGTAACTTAGTTATAATGTAAAATATAAACGTTCGACTCTCACGGCTCAGAAATTGTATATATAAATGTAAAATAAAATTATTATTATGTTGTTTTTCTTAAATACTAAATTTTTTATTTTACATTGAAATATTAATATTAAAAAATTAAAATAAATTATTAAAAATAATATTAAGTGAAAGTAATATTTCTGATTTTGTTTTTAGTCATTTTTATATTTTTATTTAGTAATAATATTATTAATAATAATAATTTGATATTTTTAATATTTTAATTTAATTTATATATACATTTATTTTAAAGCCTTATTGATGTATAATCACAAAATGTTGGCCAAATAGATTTTTTCCCCCAATTTCACAATTAAAAAATTATATTTGAAATAAATGTTAACTCAAATAAGGTAAGCTTAAGTTCCTTTATATTTTCTTTTATTTCATTTTTCATGTTTTCCAGGCAACATTTTCCTTTAGTTTAACTTGAATTTCTAAAATAAAATAAAACGAATGAAATCTATAGACAAAAAACCTAATAAAATTTATGAAAACACACAACAAAATTACTAAAACTTTAACAAAAATTAAAAACAGAAAATATAAGAATGAAATCTAATTCAAAATATTAACAAAAACTATAATAGTATATCAGTGATACTGAAATAACTCTAAATAAATAAAATAAATCCAACTTTATATATAGAGCTGTGTGATAGCAATGATATAAACGTCAATATAAATTTCTCTTTTTAACTTATTTATTGACTAATATTTTATTTTTTAAAGAATTTATTAATTTCAGTGATTTAAAAAATCACGCTTTTAAAATGAGGCTTAATCGTGGATGCAGGTTTTCACGAGCGTTTAAATCTCGATTCTTTGAATACAAAATAAAGTTACTGAAGGGGTGAATTAAAATAGGTTGATTTTTAGTCATTTCTTAAAGGGATAGTTCTCCCAAAAATGAAAATGTGATGTTTATCTGCTTACCCCCAGGGCATCCAAGTGTGTTCTACTGAAGAAACAAAGTCACCTACATCTCGGATGCCCTGAGGGTAAGCAGATAAACACCACATTTTCATTTCTGGGTGAACTGTCCCTTTAAGTTAACAGTGTTGTTTTTCTCGTGCTCTTCAGAACGACGTTGACTCCGCCTCTAAATCAGCGGCGGTTCTGAACTCCTCCAAAGTGGACGGGTCGGTGTCGGTGAAACCCGTCAACGTGGCTCTGGACGACTCTGAGATGAAGAAGATCCTGGAGGAGTGCAGACGCTTGCAGACGGAGGCCAGCAAGCTGAACGATGAGAACCGCCGGCTCAAGGTACAGCCAGAGCAAATCATTCACTTACGCTTTACTGACGTCCGACTGGATAAAAGCGTCTACTCAGTGAGTAATAAAGCAATAACAACGCCCCTTAGCTGTTATAAATTCACTGTAAACATTTACATTATATGTTAAATTATTTAAACTAATAAATTAAATTACTTTAATTTAAATTAAAATGACTTAATAAATTTAATTTTTAAATTAAAACTTTTTAAACTAAAAAACTTTTTTTTGAACCATCTTCAAGAATCGGCTAAAAACACATCTCTTCCATCTTTATTTGACCCTCGAACTCTAGCACTCTCTATTCTAATTCTATTCTAAAAAAAACAAAACACTTGTCCCTTTTAGACTTGCACTCTATTCATTTGCTGCTTGTTTTCTTTAAAAAGAAACTAACACTTGCTTTCTAATCTTTTT